TATATGTATCTCAATAAATCCCGTGATCTTCTACTGTATATCTCAAACACCCTTCTTCAACTTGTATCAGTTGAGCAACAAGAAGAAGATAAATCTCGAATGAGTACTGAGAGTGAGAGAGAGAGGAGGGAGGGGGGGAGGGGCGAACGCGTGGGGTGTGACTTATGAGAATTCTCATCTCTTCCCATGAGCTTAATGATGTATATATAGAGCTACAGTAGGGACCATTAGGAGATTAGGAATAAGGCTCCTTAATTAAATAAAATACTTATGAGTCAATTCACTTATTCTAATTAATTAAATAATATTAATGGACCAACTGTAATAGCCCATCATGTTATTAATGTAATATCATGTTTAGTTCCGAAATACTTATTTTATTAAGCGTAATTGTTCGGAACTATTTATCTCAGTCAAGAACGTTCGAATTTATTTTCGAATGTTACGTTTATGTTTGGAATAATTTCTGATAATTAATTCATGTCTAATCGCTCGATAAATATTTTACCAGGCTTAAGTTCATTGATTATGTGCTAATGACGTAATCAAGTAACCTAATCGGCTAATAATAGTGTACTAAATCGAGTACCGCACGTCATGAGCACATCATAAGCACAGTATTAGCACGAATGTGCTTAACACACATATAAGCACGCATAAGCACGCTTAGCACGCCTAAGCTGTGTTTAGTGCAACCAATCACCGAGAGTAAATGCTCTCTTTCATTTTCACGTGTACCATCATCATTACCATAGACACATGGTAGCTGGTGGTGTAATTGAGCAATGACTAAGCTTAGAGGGTGGTGAGTAAGCTAGTAAGTGCCACCTTGGGCCATGTACGCGCGGCACTTGGCGCACGACCATTGGCCAAGAATTTCCATCCCAAATTTACCTTTTTTCATCCGACTATAAAGTGAGAAGTGGGGTGAAAATATAGCTTATTACCTAAGCTATATGTTCAGCAAACACTAAGTAAGGTTAATCTATAAACACACACACGTCAAGAACACACACGTACACGCACGGAGAGGAGTGATCACACCCCGTTCTCGTGAAATTAGCCGAGCACTTGAAGAGTTTGATCAGGATACAAATATCAGCACTACCTTTTTATTCAGACGGATCAGGTGGGGACTCAGACTGGGTATTACATTGATTATAATTATTCTACCATGTTTGAGGTATGTATTATCAGTATCCGCTCGGAATGGTCGCCGGTCCATTCTGGGTTCTAGTGGCCTTAGTCTGCCCACTAGAGTGTGCACATGGTGTCTGACATTTATGCTGGTAGATGTTCAGGTATCAGGCAGGTGATGATTATCACACCATCAGTATCAGATCATGATTATTCAGTACCGGTTTCAGTTCAGTTCAGTTATATATGCCAGAATCATGTTATTGTAATTATTTTCACTGTTTACTTTAGTATGAGTTCCTACGGAGAACAGTGGACTTTAGTGCTCACGCCCCACTTTTATCATGTTTTTCAGGTCATGGAGTCGGACCGGAGGTGTGAGATGGCGATCGGTTCAGGATTATTCTTATAAAGTTTAAATTATACGGGAGCTATGCTTATAAAGTTTAAATTATGTTTTGTATAGTTTGAATTTAGCATAGCAGTGCTGCTACTATCTCCCGTAGACTTATTTACATGATCGCAACACTGTTAGTATGCTTTGCCGCTACAGTTTCCGCTGACTTTTCACTGTTTGTCAAACTTAGCCCTTTTGACCAGTCAGCAGACTGTGAGTCCGTTTTCTTAAAAACAGTCTGATTTGAAAGTAAGCCATGTATTATGGTAGCACTCCGAATCAGTATTTCGCAAAATAAATAATTTTATTTTGAAAAACTTTGCGAAAAACGTACTCTGATTTTCATGTCAAGGCAGGGTGTTACAGTTGGTATCAGAGCACGTTTCTACGTCTCTGAAAATTTTTACGAGTCAGGAATTTTCGAAAACCTGAACACGTCACGCTCACTCCTCGCCGACTACAGGTAAGTGTTGATTCATGTTTTTAAATTATAAACAAATTACTATGTCTATGCTCAGAAATTTTTCACTTAAGAATTAGTTAAGGTGCTCGAATCATGTTCAGAATCAGTAGTCAGTATACTCAAGATTTAATGTTAGTATTTTTCCAGTCATGTTTAGCAACTCGTCAAGAGATTTGTGCGCTTTAATGATCGGTTAAAGTATTTTCCTTGCATTTTGATCATGTTGAATCTTTACAATATTAAGATGTCGCCCCGTAGGGAACCCGATCGTCCGGTTGTCCCCCAAGCCACGATAGTAACACAGTTCCGCGACTACGACCCTGAGAAATTTTTTGGCCAGGGAGATCCTCGTATTGTAGATAAATGGGTTCAGGGCCTCGAATTGATTTTTGAGGTCATGGAATGTCCAGATCGCTATCGCGTTACATGCGCACAGCTTCAGTTGATCGGTGATACTCGACTCTGGTGGAATGCCTACTGGAGTATGCGTCCCGGCGAGAAGGAAGGTTGTACCTGGGATAGATTCAAGAGGATGATTCGTGAGAAATACTATCCCACGTACTACCGAACAGAGATGGAGCGTCAGTTCCTGTTGCTCAAACAGGGTACTCATTCTGTTGATGAGTACGAGAGAGAATTCACAGACTCAGAGCCTTTGTTCCCGACCTGGTGCGTACAGAGGCACAGAGGGCACAGCGTTTCACTGACGGGCTTTACCCAGCAGTCCGTCACAACATTGTAGGTCACGGAGTCCAGACCTACACTCGTACAGTTGCCATTGCCCAAGAAGTGGACGCCAGCATTCGGAGGGAGGCAAACCATGATCGTCTGCAGCCAGTTGCCCCTGCCCAGTCATTCACAGCTCCACCAGCCCCACCAGCTGCTTCCCAACCACCGAAGAACCAGAAGAGGAAAGGGAAAGACGCCCCGACGGACAGGAGGACCCGACAGAGGCCACAGCAGATTCCACAGTGCCCCACTTGTGGACGACTTCATCGTGGAGAGTGTCATGTTGGCCAGGATATTTGCTACTACTATCACGAGCCCGGACATTTTGCTAACCGTTGTCCGAAGAAACTCCAGCAGCAGCCACAGCAGCCCCAGCAGCCACAGCAGCAGCAGCAGCCCCGACAGCAGGCTCAGAGGCCACCCCAGCAGCAGAGGGGCATACAGCAGGCTCGAGTTTATGCAGTCGATCAGGCCGAGGCGGAACAACACCTAGGTACCATGTCTGGGATGCTTATGCTTAACGATATTTCTGTCTTCGTCTAATTTGATACTAGAGAAACTCATTCTTTTATATCACGAAGATGTCTCGATGCCATCAGAGTACATGCCATTACCGCTGTCGATCCTCTCGAGGTGAGTTTAGCCTCGGGACGAAAGATAGTGACTTCTGCCAAAGCTACAGATCTCAGCCTTT